ACCTTTCTAGGCCTGCTTCTAGTGACCTCCCTACTACTAAAGGATCCAAAATGTTCCTAAATAGCATTAGTAACTGAAGCATAAGCCCTAAAACATGGTCTGTGGGAGACACTTAGAGGCAAACCATAACAATGAGTTAAAAACAAGCCAGAAAAGGATCACAGAGACAAGCCTGGCCTGGAGGAGGCAGTCCCAGCCAAGGGTGGGTCGAAGTGCAAGGCGTGGTGTGTAATTGCAGAAGTATATGCACACTCATAAGACTTATCTACATGCGGATGAATCGGCACTGGGGACTTGTGGGAAATTAAGTAAGAACAAATTTTGTGGCAATGTTGAAGGGTAGGCAGAATAAATTTGGAATCACTGCGGTAGGTTGTTTAGATCTAAAGGAGGAATAACTTTGGGCATAGATAGACCCTTTCAGATGGTGACCTAAGGCAGCGTGGATGGATGATAGCCAGGCTATACAACACGTGTCCAGTGTATACTCCCTTGTATACAAGAAGGAAGAAATGAACAAAGGAGGGAGGGAAGGAGAGAAGCAAAGAAGAAAAAGGAAAGGGATCCATTCTGGCATGTTGTAGTAAAGACATAAAACATAACTCACAAGCCTGGATAATTGGATCCATTTGAAGGGTTGAAAGCATGAGCAGTCTCAACTGATGGCAATGTCTTCAAGCTCAGAAGCCCAGTGGTACCACTCACAGCATGGGACCTTGAGGGAGTAAAAGCCACAGTGAGATTTCCTTCTTCGGAGGAAGACCTCTCCTATTTATCAATTTAGCTGGCTATAGCTGGCTACCTGTGTGGTGCCCAGGGCAGATTAGCACGTGGAGTTCATCAGGGAAGCCTGGGGAGCAGGACCAGTGTCTCCTCTCTTGCCCACATTCCTGGGCTTAGTCAAAAGGACAAGACGTTTGCGCTAGGTTTCTCAAAAGGAACTCGGGGATCATCACTTGGCCATGTGACATGAGCAATGGTCACATTGTTTTGCTGACAAGTAAATCCAGTCCTATTCGATGCTGTCAGCACACTGGCCAGCAGTGAGTTCTTCCAAATAGAAGTGATCTATCAAAAGAGAAAACGAGAAGACATTAGCCACTGCCCATTCCCTGCTATCGAGCTGCTTTCAGCCTCTGAGGACCTAGGGACCACCCCCTGTCCTCTGCCATTCAAATGGCTTTATTTATTCATTCATCTTTCCAGGCAAGCTTTAGAGACAGCATCCACAAATGGCACCAAGTCGCAACACTTCAGTAGAAGCAAATGTTCTAAGGCTGTTCACACTCTGTAGGGAGTTTTGGAGTCCCATAGTCCTGGCAGTCAATCTCTGCACTGATACAACTTAGATTTTCATAATACAACCACTTACTTAAGTTTCAGACTAATTGTGGAGTTTAGAGCATAGATCAACAACTTTCTATAGGTTCTGTCCAATTTGGTTTCTACTGTGACAGGGTCTTGCTATGTATCCCTATGAGCATACGGGGCCGTTCTTAGTCAAACCACCACACAGGGCTTGAATTCACCATGTTTCTGCCTCCACTGTCAAGTGCTCAGATTTCAGGCATGTATTACCATACCCAGATTTAGGAATAATTTTGAACACTATCATGTAGCCAAAACTATAACCCCTCCTAGAATCACATGGTCTATGAATATCTGCATTTTTTTTCTGCACCCAGATGTTCTAGAGTCTGCATAGCATGTGACATAGATGAACACCTGTTCCATATGAGTGCTTTCTGTGAGGAGAGAGACACTGGAATCTGTGCTGGCCAGATCTGTGTCAACTTGACACAATCTACTGTCATCTGAGAGGAAGGGACCTCAATTGAGAAAATGTCTCCAAAAATTAGACTGAGGGATAGCCTGTAGAGCATCTTCCTAGTAACTGATAGGGGAGGGCCCTGCTGTTGTGAGTGGTACCATCCCTGGACTGGTTGTCCCGGGTTCTATAGGAAAGCAGGTTGAGCAAGCCATGTAAGCACATCAATAAGCAGCACTCCTCCATGGCCTCTGCATCAGCTCTTGCCTCCAGGTTTCTGCCCTGTCTGAATTCCTGTCCTGACTTTTTTAAGTGATAAACAGCGATACAAAAGTATAAGCCAAATGAACCCTTTTCTCCCCAACTTGCTTTCTGGTCATGGTGTTTTGTCAGCAATAAAGACCCTAACTAAGAGCATCCTAGCTTGGCTTCTTCCAGATACTCTGATACTTTAAAAAAATCAACTAATTTTTCTAGGACTTAGTTTTCTTGTCAATAAAATGGGATAATGGTGCTTAGTCCAGGGTTGTGCTGTGATAAGTAGGTTAGATGAAGAGGTAAGATTAGTTATCTGTTAGCATTGTTGATTACCCCCAAATAAAGTGGCCAAAGAGCAATGGACATAAATTATTTCATAGGGTCAGAAACTTAGCAAGGACTTAACTGGGTCCAGATCAGGCTCCTGCAAAGCTCACAGATGTTGGCCAGGGATATATAGGATCCTCAGAAGGCTAGCTTGGACTGTGGTGTCTGGCTCTGAGCTCGCATGCTTGTGTGGCAGGTACACTGGTGCTGGTTTTCTACCAAGGGCCTCAGCTTTTTCCCACATAGGCCTCTGAAAAGGATTGGTGCAGTAGTCCCAGAGCATGTGATTAGTCTGAGAGACCTAGGCAGAAGTCGCAGTGCTTTCATGATAAACCCAACACTTGTGTTCACTGTGTTCTGCTGTCAACAGATCGGCACTGCTACAACCCAACAGGGAAGTGCACACTGGGGAAAAAGCCAAGCATTCAGGTTCATTGGCAGCTGGCTCGGTTGCTGGGAGTCACATGATGGCTTGCACCAAGTGACAGCTGTTGCCAGAACACTCCGCTCTGTGCTTCTTGTCACTTCATTAAGAGAGGATCTTTCTGTAATGATTCAGCCACACAACATGGCTGATGCGTCCAGGTTCCAGGGCCATGCCTGTGTGTTCAAGCCCTCAGGCAGAAGTGCCTAATGGCCCCGGGAATCTTAAAGGTCCCCGTGTGACCCACGTGCAGCACAGTTGCATTATCTATGTATGACAAGGCTGTGTGAGCCCTTGCACGAATGTGTGAGCTCCGTCATCTGCATATGATGTAACCATGCCATCCCTCTGTGCGCATGCGGTAGACACCTTAAAAGCGCGCTCTCTCTCTCTCTCTGCACACCTACTTCCCAGGCCTGTACACGCCCCCCTCTAATAAACTCCTAAGCGGGATTGTTTCGTGTTCCATGTTTCCTTCTCACTCACGCCAGGTAATTTCATTGGTGCCATAACAAATGGAAGGAGTTTCCTTATATCCAAGCCCTTTACTATCTGAGCTCTAAGTCCCAGTCTTATAATCTCACCTTTCATAATATCTATATGATCCTACCTAATAACCTACTTCCTGAAGAGCACAGGGAAGTTTGGGAGCAGGCCAGACTACATGCAGACGAGATTCACCAAATACATGCAACATACCCTCTGGAGGCAGAGGTGGTCCCTGAGTGGGATTAAAACACCCCAGGTGGAATTTTAGCTAGGGACTGGTTTTTGACTTGCCTTCTGGCAGGTCTCCATAAGGCTGTCCTCAAGATAGTAAACTATAATAAGCTCTCAGAGATCATTCAAGATACAAAGGAAAATCCTTCTACATTTTTTGGAATGCCTCACTAAAGCCCTGTTACAATATACTAACTTAGATCCAGAAACCGCAGAAGACACGGTTACTCATGACTCATTTTTTTTCTCAGTGCTACCCTAACATTAAGGCTAAACTTAGATGTTTGGAGAAAGGCCCCTTGACCCCACAGGTGGACGTCTTAGAGTTGGCTTTTAAGGTGTAGCATGAGAAGAATGACAAAGCCTGTAATCACTGTCACGTGTTAACCATGGCCTCCTGACTAGCCAAGGTGACAGACTGCCTGCTCTGTGCTGTCCATGCTGCTCCCTTGCTCCCTCCCCCCTCCAGGGGCTCGAGAACTGCCAGGCCCGTGTTTCAAAAGGTAGAGCTGGTCACTGGGCCCAAGCATGCCCTAATCCTCATCTTGGTCCCATGGGACCTTGTCCGAGATGCCATAGGGAAGGTCATTGGGCAGATTGTCCTTGTGCACATAGTGGCATAGAGACATCAAACCCAGAAAATTCCCAGGTTGATCTTCTAGGTCTGGCCATGGAGGAGTAAGGCTGCCCAGGCTCCTTTGACCCAACCACAACCGTTATCTGTAACAGGGAGTCATGGGTAAACATCACAGCATCAGGACGGCCCATCTCCTTTCTCTTGGACACTGGAGCCACATACTCGGTACTGTGGGAATTCTGAGTGCCTACCTCTCCTTCTAGTTTCCCTGTTGTTGGGGTATGGGGACAGCCTTATCTACCTTAACTGACCCCACCACTTAACTGTGTTTTTAGGGGTATTTATCTCACTCATTCATTTTTAGTCATGCCGACCTGCCGGTACCTCTTACGGGAAGAGATTTTTTTTTTTCAGCAAAAGTAGGAGCTTCCATTTGCTCCTTCCATTCACCTTACCCCAGACTCTCCAACAGCTCCCCTCCTCCTCCTTCTAAACCCCCAACCTCCCAGCTCCAATGTGTCTTTTCCTCTACCAGCCTCTCAAGTGGACCCCCAAACTGGAACACCCAAAACCACTCTGTTGCTAAACAACATTCCCCCATTGTTATCGAATTACAAGATTGTACTAAGTACATTACCCATGCTCAGTACCCCCTCTCTCTCCAGAGCCTTAGGGGACTTAAGCCTATTATCTATGACCTTTGAAGAAAAAAGCTATTTCACCCCACCTCTTCTCCCTTTAACACCCCTGTTAAAAAACCTAATGTGTAGACTGCCTTGGCGGATTGGTTAGTCTAGGGGTTGTAACCCGCCTGGCTGGTCAGTAATTCCAGGGTCCCGGAGAGGCACTATCTGAAAGACATGGGCGGGAGAGAGGAAGGAGGCCATGCTAGGTTTGTCAGAGCCTCTGTTTATTAGAGTCATGGTTACAGCTTATATAGCCCCTGGATGAGGAATTTGGGGGGCAAGGGCATGGGCAGGAAGGAATCTTGCAGTGGTGGTTCCAGCCGGTCCCGAGGTCGTTGGCTAGGAGGTTACGATCAGTCAGGTCATGATTCCTCGGTCAGGAAGTCGCAAGTTGACACACCTAGTTCTCTAGATAGTTAGAATGTGGGGCAGGTTCCGCTAACAGATATCTCTCTATTAACAGATAATTGGGTGTGGGATAGGCTCTGTCAATTTGGGGGGGGGGGGAATGGCTCCTGACACTAATGGAACCTATCGTCTGGTTCAAGACCTCCAGCTCATTAACTCTGCAGTGGTTCCTCTTCAGCCTGTAGTGCCTAACCCTTACACACTTCTTTCCACTACCCCTCCCAGGAACCTCCCACTTCTTAGTTCTAGATCTTAAGGATGCTTTTTTTCCTCTATTCTACTCAGCTCTCAATCTCAAAATATCTTTGCCTTCACCGAGCTGACCAAGCAGCTAGAACAGCAACATTCCAAAGCCTAAACCTACCTCAATCACTTCAGGGGGTTCATACAGCACAGCCCACTTTCTCACAGACACCCCCTGACATCCGGCAAGTTCTGTCTCCTGGATATTAAGGTAATACCATGATGCTAAAGAGAACAAATGCCTCAATTTACTTCAGGTAAAACATGAAGGGGTCTAATAATTCCCTTTTCTCCAACACTATATCATCATAATCATAAGCTTTTAATATGTCTAATTTATTTCTTTTCAAACATGTTTCTATAAGCTCCAGGGAGCCAATTGTATCTATTGAAATGGACCAGACTTGCCTAGAATAAGTATCATTTAATTCTTCCCTTATCATTCCTGGTCTCAGGAACCCCTGGGAAATTCCCTCCTCCAACACCCCCCCAATAAAAAAAATCCCTCTATCTTCCAGCTTCGGACACTTCTCCCTTAATCACTGGTATCTAAAATTCTTTCCAGACCTAATTTTCTGCCTTTCCAGCATCTTGCTAGGTCCAAGCTGCCAGCCAGCCAGTTCCACAGAGCCTGGAAAAAAAAACAAAAAAGTAATCAGCCACCCCAGGACATGGTCAGGCATCTCAATTCTCCGAAGCCCACAGAATCAGCAGGAAGCAGTCATGAGAGACCTTACGACGCCCCATTCCTACCATTAAAGACCCCAAACTCCCCAAATTTTTATAACAAGCAAGACGGTGGAATGTAAGGATTTCAGCCACAATAAGGCTGACACTTCCATGTTCTAGGGCCATGCATGTGTGGACAAGCCCTCAGGCAGAAGTAACTAATGGCCCCGGGGCCCTGCCTGACCCACATGCATACATGGTTGCACCATCCACGTATGACTCAGCTAAGCCTTGGCGTGCATGCATAGTTGCATCATTCACATATGACTCAGTTAAACCCTTGCGTGCATGTGTGAGCCCCATCATCTGTGTATGACATAGTCATGTCAATCCCCTGTGCACATGTGCTATGCAGCTTTTAAAAGCTAGAAGCGCCATCTCTTTTTCTTTCTGCACACTGACTTCCCCAGATCTGTACATGCCCCCTCTAATAAACTCCTAAGCGGGTTTGTTGCGTGTACCGTGTTTCTTTCTCAGTCGCACCAGGTAATTTCACCCTCCCCACTCTCATTTGTCCCAGCTCAGGGTCAGGTTCACTCTGAACTCTCTCAGAAGTCCCTACCTCTGGCTATGCTCTCCCTTTTATCTACATCTTCTCTAACTTACTTAGGCCAGTGCCCTTCCTTTTCATTTCTTCTCTTCCCCCATTCATCAGGCATCTTATAACTTATCGGGAGATGAATTTTGGCTGCCCAATTCCAAGTTCTATCTACATCCTAACATCTTCCTGGCCCTCTGCATGCAGAGACTTGGCTCTCCCATCCTCTGATGGACATCCATAGGCCAGACATAAAGCAGCTGCATTGCTTTCTAGTGTCACTCGACATTTCCTGAGGAGAGGAGCCAAGCAGGGTTTGGGATGATGAAGCTGCGTCATCTGGCCTATTTGCCTCCAGCAAGGCTGAGGCTGAGTCCTTCCCAAAAATAAGTCCCTGCATTTTCTGACTTGGAGTCCAGCATCTGGGACACGGAATCATAGAGCGCGCAGTTAGATGAAAGAGAGTCCCCATCCTCCATCAGTTGCTGCTGCCATAAATAACAACTCTAACAAGGCCAGTTGGAAGTCAAGTTCCTCTGCCTCCTGTTGAGAGTTCTCAAGGAGGTGCGTAGGCGGGCTCTTATTTTAAACAGATAGAAACCCACAGAAATGCAATTCAGCTGCAGCGGAGTCCCTTCCAGCCCTTGAGATTTCACCAGGCTTGGAACCTTGCGCATCAGTTGGTTAGGAAACCTGTGGAATCCCAACTCCAGCGTGTGAGGTTTGTCTCCTAGTGGCCGGGGATGACAGCATCACCTGGTCCAGTGACTGTCACAATCAATGATAGTAACATGTAAGAATTTTGCAAACTCATAGTGCTAGGTCGTCATTACTGCTGCTGTGGCTACCGTGGCTTTACTGGGCTGTTGGAGGAATGAAGGAGAAGAGGAAAGGACTCATTCTGTTCTGCTAGCGGCTCTTCCGTGTTCTGCAAAGCACAACAGTACCTGTCTCTCTGAGCAACTCACCTGCACTTTAACCCCAGAGGATCTGGCTCTGGTCTCTGAAGACGTGAAGACAAGATTGGACCTACCCAAGTAATCACGGCAGAGTTTAAGTGAACCAAATGCCTCAGGTTGAGATCTCCTTGGAGATGTGAATTATCTGGGCCCTGCCCTGCTCTGCCCAACCCTCTCTTGCCCTCCCCTGCCCTGCCCTGCCCTTCAGGCTCTTTAGGCTTTCTCTACTAGCTTGTTTTCTTCTTTCCTTCCTCAGAGAAGGAGAGAGAAAAGAGAGAGTTTATTTCATGTTTAGTTGAAAAGAATGTCAAAAATTTATTTTGCAAGCAATTCTAAAGATAATGAGGCAAAAACCTAAGACTCAGGATGAGGTGAAGGAGACGTCTAGGAAAGAAATATTTACATGCTGCTGGCAACACTGGTGCCTCCAACAGCTGGCTAAGCTCTTCCACCTACTGCTGCAGACAGAGAACCGTGAATTCAAGTCAGTTACAGACATAGGATTCCAGTTCTTGGCCCAGCAAGGCGAGAGGGTCCAGCAATGTTCTGTTTTCTCGTAAAACTTCAAGTACTCTGACGGCCGAAGCATAGGGGTCAGGGGAATCTGCTACCACCTTCCAAATCTTACACAGAGAGGAATAAAATTAGTTTGTTCTTTCTTTCTGCAGCTTCCTGCCCACATATGAGGGACTATATTAAACCCAGGAGGCCCCCCTTTGCAGCTTTCTGCCCTCTTACTGTCTTCAGCAATGTGGGAAGCTGTTGATCTGGACTAAGCTTCCACATTCAGTCCCAACGAACCAGGCGAAGTGTCAAAATGGAGTGCCTCCTGCTGAAGTTTCCCTAGTGAAACTCAACTGTTTATCTGACCTTGAGACAGATGAAGATTAGCAAGAGAACAACCAGTTTCAACTGGCTTGATATGGAAACTCAGTCTCTTTTTTTGTCACCTTTTTTTTGTTTGTTTATTTATTTATTTATTAAAGATTTCTGTCTCTTCCCCCACCGCCGCCTCCCCTTTCCCTCCCCCTGCCCCAACCAAGTCCCCCTCCCTCATCAGCCCAAAGAGCAATCAGGGTTCCCTGCCCTGTGGGAAGTCCAAGGACCATCCACCTCCATCCAGGTCTAGTAAGGTGAGCATCCAAACTGCCTAGGCTCCCACAAAGCCAATACGTGCAGTAGGATCAAAAACCCATTGCCATTGTTCTTGAGGTCTCAGTAGTCCTCATTGTCCGCTATGTTCAG